TGCACGTTCTTTTGTGTCACGGCCCACGTTTCACTGCCGTACATAAGGACTAGTCTTATCATGAACTTATAAACCAAACCCTTGAGTTTCACTGGCATTTTTCTGTCGCAAGTAACACCAGATAATTCTCGCCATTTTTGCCATGCTGCTTCTATATGGGTCTTTGTTACCAAAATTACATATACAAGTACATATATACTTCCACAAGGATATATAGATAGTTATGGCCACCTGGGCCATTGTTCAATATCGCATGGTAGATGCCAGCAACAACACCACTTGCACGAATGGCCGGAACGACCGATGCAATACCACGATCACACAGAACAATTGTGTGAAGTAGAAGTTATGCCGCGTTTCGTCGGATGAGTGAGTGTGGTGGGGGCGTAATTTTAGTCCTCTTAGTTTTCCTTCCCAACAGTTTACTATAAGTAAAGAATGGTAAAGCGGATTTGACAGAGAAGAGGTTCAAATCCGCTTCGCGCATACGCATCGAAAGTAAATAACGAGTGGAAGGGGGGCTAAAGTATTTATGCTATCACACATATTTATTTTCTCACTTACAACGTAAATTCTAAATATGAATAAAATATATGTACTATTATAATATTATAAAGATTTGATGGTTTACATTGAATAGGCTCTAAAATTGTTGTACCTATTAGAAAAATGATTTCACCGTTCGAAATGCACAATCCCTACATTTATACAAATTCGTCGGCAAAAGCTAGTGAATAATATTTTTTTTGCCCGCAAATAATACAGGTGATTTTAGGTTGTATTGTTATCTGCTGAAATAACATCACGTGACGATGGATGAATGGACGACCCCAAAGGGGAAATATTCACTTTCTATGCGTACCTTTCCGTCGATTAAAACTAGGCAACTAGGTAATGAATCTGCAATAGTAGTTGTCTGTAGGCGCAAGGTCCGGTGAGTAGGGCGAATGACGGAGAGATTCCGACCCTAGTTCTTGCAACTTGGAGATTGTCTGCTGTGCAGTATGAGGTCGCGCCTTTTCATGCAGGAGCAGCGGAGACGAGCGAACTAATGCTGGTTGGAAAAGTGCCAGCTTTTCCATCATTGTGTTCAGTTCTTCACGGTACACATCTGCAGTAATGCTCACCTCGTTTGGATTACTTTTCTAGGGCAGTGTTTTCGTTTAGGGCATTGTTTAGGCGCTGAACCAAAATCCAACCAACTTGCTGAGCGCTTGCGTTTATCAAACAGAATCCACTTTTCTTCGCAGGTAACAATGCGGTTCAAAATTCCTTCTTTTGTGTGTCATCATTGTGTGTCTCGACGCGTACTTCGCGCTGGTCCATTTGTCAAGCTTTTTTCCTTGCCAATTTGACGCAAATGAATCAATATTGTTTTGACGCTAAAGTCGAAAGCTGTTGCTAATTCAGCCGTAGATTGTGTATCATTAGCTACCACAATCGCCTTTAATTCGTCATTGTCGACCAATGTCTTCGGACGACCGCGAGGTTCATTTTTCAGGTCAACATTTCGAGAACGGAAGCGAGCAAACCAATAACAGGTGGTGCATTGGTTTGTAGTGCTAACTACGTAAACGTCGTTGATGTTGTGTGCCGCTTGTGCCGCGTTGCTGTCAACACGGTCCCCATATTCCTTAATTACTCGAATTTTTAACGTATCCATGATGACGAATAATATTGAAATGCGATGAAAATGTAACGCTAATCAATGAACAAATGACTACTTATGAATAAGAATTCCATGTTTTTAAAATAAAATAAATTTTAAAATAGAATTCTAAGACAAACAAAAATTATTGTGCTTTGAATTGGCCGCCGCCATCAAATGCAATCATTATTTCATAATTTTCGCTCAAATAACGATCACGACTGACGGGGTATTGCCAAATTCGCTTTCTCTTACTGTCCTTGACTTCTTACCAAAGGGTGGGAAGGGAAATAGAACCAGAATTATTGTTGCCTGCGGTATGCACAGACGAAATAGTTTCGCTTGAAGTCAGTCTTCTGTGAGGTCGTGGTTACTACAGTATACCTAATATACTTTTCAGTCGTGCGGTTGCTCCGGGCGAGCAGGTTTCTTCGTGCAGCAGTTAATGCCGCAGCGGTCTTTACCTTATTATACAGAAATCTAAATCTTCTGTTGAGGTTGGATGGCCGCTAGCGCAGAACGCCGCGTGCCATTGTTGTGCCACCGCTGTCCCACATTGGGGTTGCTGGGGATCCGAGCCACCCCCGACGCGGCGCCCCCGCCCCGCCGAACAGTTCGCCAGTAGCCGGTCGCCGGCGTTCAGTCGTCGCGTGGTCGCGTGGTTCGCTCGGCGTCCTGGCGTCCGGCGCACGCTGTCCCGTGAGCGCTCACCGAGTCCGTGAACAATCGCGATCTTCGATCTCGGTACAGTGCAATACTCTTACATTTTTAATTTGAACTGTTCTGTGTCGTTTTATTATTTTTTAATTTTGGTTTTATGTGTATAAGTCAGTGCGTTTCTTAATTTTGTATTTGTTTTCCATTTCTCCGTGGCATTATTTGTAGTTTTTATTGGATTTGTTTAGCGAAGATCTGGCGGCGGCCGATATTTGGAAACTTACGTAAGTAGTTCACTGCAATGCGATTAAAGTTTTGATAAGGTCACTTTTCCTTTGATGGAGATGTGCCGTCTGATGAAGTGAAAACCTTCGCTCTGTTCGGAAGCGACATTACTGTGTCGGCTTTGACGAAATATTCCCAGGGTTGAAAAACTTTTATAATCACTTTTCTGCAATGTTATTCAATATCATGATTAAAATGTTATAGGTACACAATGATAAATTGTTTATTACAGGTAAAGTTAATATTTACATATAGAAGTAATAGTTTTAATGATATAATAAACAGATAGATGCATACTGATAGTGTAGTCTGTTTTGCCAGTGGTAGCTGCGCCTGCTGCACAGCTATCAGGTCACCACCTCGCAGAGGACACGTTTTAAAAAGTAATAAATACAATAGCCTTACTCAGTGAAACCGTAGAGTTGTAATGGCACAAGGAGTCCTAGGCTACACTGTAAGCCGGAGCTGGGTAGAACCATTTAATGCTCCGCCTTTACATATGTGGCCGTTATCGTGTAAGGGTAGGATATTTAAATGGAAAGCCGTCAAATATACAAATCTTTTGTACAGATAGATAAGAATTAAATTATATAAATTCTTTCTTGTCCAACTGATTCTATTTGTATCGTATAGAATATCTGGTGCGAACGAAACCTCATAATTAGTTTCCATCGTCGAGAACAATATGTTACCGGCTGTGGAGAACCACGGTTACGCTATCCAAAGCTGGCTTTGTTTCAAATCTGCAAATAAAAAACTGCACATACTATCATCTTTGTCAGTCTGAAGTATAAACATCCGATGAACAAGTGCCCGCAAAGTGCATGAAAATTCTCAAATAAGTTCCAGTCACATAAATAACAACAATAGTTAGCCATCCTAGCCGGGGCTCGTGTGTACTAGAGAATGAAGAAGCGGTCGTAGGGCATTTCATGTAGAATTTATTATGCGAATAAGAGGGCGCCACGCGGAGCTAGGCGGAAAGGGGAGCGGCAGGGGCGGCTCGCTCGTCCCTTGTAATTGTGAACTTGATAGTTTTTAACTAATAATCTTAGAAAGTAATATTGCATACTTGTGTCGCGAGTATCATGTAGCACCCTACATGATACTCGCGACACAACGTTGAATTGTCGATGCGAGTCGTCTATTTGATCAGTACATGCATAGCGATTACGCGGTATGTTTGTATTTGCTTCGTCATTCTGAAATCCGCGGCGATTTTAATTGCCAAGAGACTAAATTCGCGGCCCTTTTAGTCGCTAAGCAACTTAGGAATGCAATGAACAATGACAGAGGTTCGTTCACAGGCGTACGTCTACGAAATTTCTTTGTTTCGGAGGCGGCGCTAGTCGTTCACTACCTGTTTGTTAACATGGTCGCTGCAAGCATATAAACACATATACACTTGATTTATGTTAACGCGTGCGTGTACGAAGCGAGGAGAAGCGAAAGCATGTAAGTAGGGACTTAGGACAGCGCGGTACGCGTTGGCTACGCTGCGTGCTAAAAGGCCTAATTGTTATGAAGTCTTCTTCGTGATTCCTTTGATCTTATAACCTGAAGTTAAACCCGATTTAATTTAAAAAGGATGAGGAAATTTAATTCACATGAATAAATTACTAGGAATTAAGCTTTATTTTACTATAACAAAATATGAAAGTCAAGTGTCATACTTAACATGTTTACAAAATAAAATTGAAATTGATAACTGTTACGCGAAAATATTTCTTGTATTATCACTATTTTGGATGAATCGATATGAGGAGTAGCAGTTGCGTGGGGCGAGGGCGATGACTAGGCGAGGGCGGCGTACACCCCTGCGCCCCCCGCCCCTGCCCCTGCGCCCGCGCCGCGTTGTGTCACGCCGGTTCTACGCTACGCGTGGCGCGAAAGCATAGTGCTTTTTGTGCAAAAACATTCCTTACATCAGTCTTCTACAATCCATTTTTAGTTGAAACTAGGTGCGCGCGCCCGCGACTTCGTCAGTATAAGGTGCAGGCACAGATGAAACTATTGCTCTGCATTTACAAAACATACGACTGTCCTGCTCTACACGACATTTTATTAATCGTTTTAATTAATAACAATTTCGTAACAATACAAATTAATTGTTTTTATCCGTAACAAGCAGTTGCCCTCGATTTCGTCTGTGTAGAATTAATTAACATCTAGTAATAAATATACTCGTACTATTTCACTTGAGGGTAGTGCAGCATATTCCAACAGTGATAGAATTTTTCATATCTGTTCACAATTTTCGGAGCTTATTCAATGGAAACAAACAATTAAATATTTCCTCTTCATAATATTAGTAATTATAGATAGATAATGTTAATCCCTAAATATATGAAATGGTCATGCGTATGCTGGTTACTGGACATATAACTTTGTGATGTAATAAATACGCATATAACGGTCTAAAATGTGAATTTATTCATTTGAAATAATAGTAACCTTTAGTTAAAAGTGACGATTTCTTGTATGAAATAGTAAAATATTCAAAGTGGCATATTTGTAGCTTTGTTTTAACTGTAATAGCGCCCGCTTCCTCGTTGGCCTCCTTATACTATTAAATAATATACACCGTACTCGCATATTTGCCGCTATGTGACCGTAGGCGCATGTTTGCCGCTGTGTGACTGCTTTTCGTGTCCCAGTTTGGCTTCTTTGCTCTGTTATATATGTAGGTTGTTTATTTAACTTATTACAATATTGTCGTTGATCACCTCGGTCTTTCTTCTCTTATATAAAATCAATAACAATACTTTATTATTACGAATAATTGACATAAATTACTTGAATATAACATTGTATATACATGAATTATCAGCATGTTTCTGACCACGTTAAAATGTTTCATTTTAAGACTTTACTAGAATAGGCAATAAACCAAGCTATATAAAAATAATGTAAATATTAGATAATTGCAGATCTCAAGAAGTGTTTGTTACCTAAAAGGCAACACTGGCTGGCATATATATGTATATATATTTTATAGTTTTCTCACAATAATCACTTTTTGTGTCGTGTCAGGGACCACAGGTGCCCTTTTGTATCTGACTCTGTCCTTTTTAAAATTTTTTACTAAATGACTTAATCGAGTCGTGTTACGCGACCGGAGTGCGACTGGGGCGAGACCGCATCGCCCTTCAATCTATCTGAGCAAACCCAGTTGAAATTTCAATTCTAAAGGCGTTTCATACTCAGGTTAAAGCTAAGTTGTTCCTCTGATAAATACTAAACGTTTCGGCTATATATATATATATATATATATTTATTTATTCGGAGACTTGAAAATAGTTTTATTTTTCCTTACATAACTATTAGTTACCCTAAATATACCAATGTCCCGTTTTGATTCAAAAAATAATTGGTCTCGTTATATATCCATCACCACACGTACGAAGCCGGAGCAGGTTCCTAGTAAGATGTAAGAGGGGGTCGCTGATAACTGGAAGAAGCGAAGGAGTTCTTCTAAACACTTCTTAAGTTCACAATATCGGAACGAAAAACATTCTTACAATCTACTAGATAATCTGCTTGGCAATCATTGTTTTATAACGTTTTATAAGAACGGTCGGTGGTCGCGTGGTCAGGACAGTCCGGCCGCCTCGTAGATACCGGTCCAGAAGGCGAGAGCGGCGGCGTCGAGCCCCGTGCCCGCCGTGAGCTGCTCCGCTATGTCCAGGTAGGCGCCGGTGCTCT